ATACATAATCACAAATCAACATCTAGGGGATTTCTAGATTTTGATTTTTTCAATATATATATAAAATCATATAAAATTATAATATAATTAAATCGACGAATAAAATATAGTATTTAGGTACCAATTACCCGCTATCTCACTTCTTAAATGTGCGTGTGTCCTATGCTCCAATGATGATTTTTAATTTTATAAACCATTGTTCTGATACCATTTGTCACGACCCGCTCCCCGTACCCAAGGGTTAGGCATCGTGATGGCCAGTAACCGAGGTTACCTCCGGCCAAATCTTTAAACAATTTAATAACGCAAGCGGAAGAAATATTTAAATAAGGGTACTAAAATAATCATTGGAGCTTCTATTTTTATTACAAAAGGTATTGACCAAAAGGCCGATTTTTACATTAAAAAAATACATCAATAAAAGTGCTTTGTGCCTACTCCACACGCTGGTCCCGACATGCCACCTGAAAGTGGTAAAAAACTATAAGCTCATGGCAGAGTGAGAAATATTATACTAAGAGTATAAGGCATAAAATTCATCATGGATAATTAGTTAGGCCAAAAAGAACTTGATACATATAATACGAAAATCATTTGATATATACTTCAGATCATTTATATATATACTTCAGATCATATAATATGAAAATCACTATACAACCATAACCACGGTACATCACTAAGTGCCAAGCACTACACTGGTCAATGGATCCACGACAAACACTGGACCACAAAGTGGTCAATCACTAAGCCCATGGTTATTTAAGTCCCCCAAGGCATGAGACTCCCGTGGTGGTACTTACAAAACATCACATCACGGAACATTCACACTATAAATGTGAATATTATTAAAGGTATTTTGGTAACAATGTCAGCAATAAGACTACTTGAAACATAAGAAACTAATGTAAATTAAATAAAATATAAGTAGGTAAAAATAAATTTATTAAAAAGTGCCCCATTTTTAATACTTCAATTTGGAAAAACTATTTACCTTGAGCTAACTTCACCTTGTCTATGGGGCGTTGTTTTGTCATCCACTACATAGGCATTATTCATATGTCCTCTTTTGATTTTTGGTTGATCGCCGTGTAGTCCCACTAGTGATGGACGGCTTTCTAGAAAAAAAAAAAAATCAAATTGGAACACTATAAACTAACCTAACCCCATCAAAACTAGTCAAGCCAACATTTTCTTCACACCATAATGTTGTTAACTTCTTTCACCTACATCCAAAATTTCTTATGAGACATAGCTAAACACGACACTCCTAAAATCTCTATAAAGCAATGCCCACTTGCCTTATTGCATGAAGGCATCTCTCTCACTCTCTCCCTTTCTCTCTCTAGGTATGTACTCAAAAAAACATAGTATTATGGGTACTACATTGACTACACACCAAAAAAAAAAAAAAAAAACATATTTGGTAATCATAACATATTCAATTTATCGCATTAATCTCTAAAAAAAAGAATGATAACTATATTTTTAATAAATCATTCATTTTTTTTTTTGTGACAAACGCTATATTTTAAAAAAAAGTTATTAATTATTGAATCGAATTATTTTTAAAAAAAATAATATACACAAAATATTTTACAAAATAAATAATTCAGATTATCAAAAAAGAGAGAAAGAGAGGAGAAAGGTGCCCGAAGGGAGGTCGGAGCCCCCTTTCTCCTCCCAAATGGCATTTTCACTCAGCAACCCCTAGGAGAGAAAAACTTATCAAACAATATCACCTTAGAGCATCTCCAACGATTCACCTAATGTTTCACCAAATCTGAGTAAAAAAATGGCCATTTCCTCAATTTGATACTGAATGCTCCAACGGTTCACCTTCATCAAATCATGACTCATTTTCTGAATTTGATATCAGTTGCTCCAACGGTGCATCAAAATTCCGTGGGTCAACCGGTAAAGCCAATTTTTTTTTTTTTTACTTTTTTGAACTGTTTGAACCTACCTCCGTGGATCGACCGGTGGGTCGACCGGTAAAGCCAATTTTTAATTTTTTTTTTACCATTTTGAACTGTTTGAACCAGGCCAATTTCGCATGCACTGGTCAACCGATTGGTCAACCGGGTGGTTGACCAAGGGATCGACCAGGTGGTCATCCAAGTGGTCGACCCATGTGTAAAATTCTGAAGCTTTTCTGCTTCAACGGTCACACACAGTGTTTTGATGAAATATGTATTCTGTCCTCAGTTTGATGAATCGTTTGTTGAAATCTCAATTTAATATCGATTTGGTGCAACCGTTAGAGCATCAAACAGTAACTTTTTCACCAAATTTTAAATTTGATGTCAACTTTGGTGAAGCGTTGGAGATGGTCTTACACACCAAAATTTTGGTGTATGATACACCGACAATTTGAATTTTTTTTATTGTTATTGTTGAAAGAATAAATTACTATTCAAACTCGAGTTTTGAAGATTTATTGTAAAGAAATTAAAATATATTTTCAAAACATAAAATCATTTACAAAATCAAAAATCACTTGAATTTAGAAATTCTATTGTAATTGTACTATATGGTCAAAATCAGTGATTATTGAATAATTTTCCAATTTAGTTTGAGTTTTTTGGATTAAGTTTTTTGAAAATTAAATTTTTTGGTTTTTGTATTCTTTTGTTTTTAGTGAATATTTTTTTAATTTTAAACATTTTTTTTTACTTTTTTAGATGCACCTTAGTTAGATGTATCTAAAAAGTAAAAATTTTGTGAAAAAATATTTTAAAAAATTAATAAATACATAAAAATATAAAAAATGTACTGAATTCTTGTATTTTTTTTTTGTATTTTTGGTATTTAGTGAATTTTTAAAAGATTTTTTTTATAATTTTTTTACTTTTTAGGTATATTTATGTTAGGTGTGTCTAAAAAGTAAAAAAATTGCTTAAAATATTAAAAAAATTCAGTAAAAATAAAAAAACGCGACAAATAAGAAAATAGAATGTTTTGAAAAATATTTTTTAAATAATGAAAATAAGCAAGCTGAATATTTTTCTACAATATATATATATATATATATTTTTTTTAAGATAGTAATTTTTATTTTTTACTTTTTAACGGTTAATAGGTTAATTGTTAGACTATAACACAAGTCAACGTTTCTTTAATGACTTCAACTTTAAACCTCACTCATTTTGATAAATATATAGTGCTTTAGGAGTAGTTAATAATCTTCCTATTTGGACACATCCGTTTGGACAATTACATTGAACTATTCTACATTACTTAGGTGGTGTTTGGCGAGAAGGTTTGGGTGAGTTAGGGGTTAAAATAGTTACAAAAAATAAAATAGGCTATTTTAGTCACAAAAAAACAAAACATCAAATCTAATTCATAATCATTACAATTCTCTCTCACAAAAAAAGTCAAAAAAGTCAAAAAGTTAAAAAATCATTTCCAAATCAAGCTAAAATAGTCAAAAAGTCAAAAAACCAACCCACTTCTCAAATGGAGGCTTATTACTTACACTTATTAAATTATTCATAAAAATCTTAACAAAAATTATTGAGCCTCACCATTTTAACCGATAAATATTGATATAAATTCCAAGATTGCTATATTCATGCAAATTGCTCACACACAATTAAAATTTTAACAGGTGAATATCTCCCACCAATCAAAGTCTCAATTATGTATTTTGGACGAAGTAAATTATGTGAATAAATTATTAATATATAAATTTATCTAATAGAATTATGTTAAAGATTTTTAATAATTTAATAAATTTTTTATTAAACTTTTCATATGAGTATAAAATTTATACTCCCTCCATCTCAAAATATTAGTCCCTTATTTTATTTTTTATTGTCTCAAAATATTAGTCCATCTTCAAAAATCAAGTACAAAAATAATATAAATTTCTTATTTTACCTTTCTTTTAAATTAATAAATAATATAAAAAGTACAATTATCACATTGATATTCTCAAAAAATATACTATCAAAAGGATAATTTTAAAAAATTAACTTTTTTCAAATGCAATAATTATACTATTAAAAAAAATTAAATTTTTTAAAAAAGACCATTATTTTAAGACGGAGGGAGTACATATCTAAATTTAAGTATATACATTCAACATCTATAGGAGAAGTTCATAAAAAATTTAATAAATTATTCTACCTAGTAAAGACCACGGTATAATTTCTAGGTTAAAAGATTCCACTGAAATCATTAGGGGTGTTGAAAGCTGGATACAGATTAATAACAATTAATGCGGAAAACAGTGGCGTCGGTCACACTCTTCTATTCCCCAAATAAATAAATAAATAAATAAAATCAGTCAAGAGGCCAGCCTTGCTCCGTACACATACCGGTTCATCTCTCGTCCCATCTACTCTTCCCCCCTCCTCACCGCACCAAAACGGGCAAAGCCCTCGGTTCCAGTCCAACTCCGTTTTAGACTTAACAGCTGTCACAAACTTTGCCTCGAAACTATCTCATTCATGTGCATAACTGTCACGATTCCCTCTGGATTCACCACTCTCTCATAAATTGTTAACATTAAATATATTAAAAAAGAAAGAAAAAAGATTGAAGGTATATTTAGTTTTTGTTGTGAACCTTAAAAAAAATAAAAAATAAAAAAAAATAAAAAAAGTGGTTGTTAACATTAAATATAAAAAATAAAAATGGGGATTAAAGTGAGTTGGGAAAAATCCATACCCATTAAAAAATGGGGAGGGTGGTACCCATGGGGAATGGGGAATGGGGAAAATTTATTATAGGGAATGAGGATGGAGAATTAACATCCACCCCATTACCCCCCATTGCCATTCCTAACAACAAGAACTAACTAATTAGTGATTGGTTTGGAGTATGAGCACATGATATTCTGAAATTATTGAATAATTTCCCCTTCTATTCCCCAAAAATAAATAAATAAATAAAATCAGTCAAGAGGCCAGCCTTGCTCCGTACACATACCGGTTCATCTCTCGTCCCATCTACTCTTCCCCCCTCCTCACCGCACCAAAACGGGCAAAGCCCTCTCATTCACATGAACTCTTCTCCTCCTTCTTCAATATTAACTAGTACCAGTACAATCTTCCCTTTGATTTCTCAGATTTGACAGCGTAGCACCATCAGATCTGTTTTTTCTGTCAAGGTTCGGCATCGCCGGAACATGGACGGCGTTGGTGATGGAACGATTAAGTTGGGGACTCTCAGCACCAGACCCGATCGCCGTTTCAATTTGGACCCGCCCGAAGTCTCTGTTTTGTCTCCTGTCACTCGTCAGAAAGCCGCCGCTAAACAGTTCACCGAGAATCACTACTAGAACTACCTCCAAGGGTTACAGGATCGTAAAGAAAGGTCCAATTCACTTCTCTCTCTCTCTCTATATATATGTATAAGTGCTTGTTGTATTGTTGATGTTTATGGAGATGTGTTTGTTTGGATTAGGCGGCGAGAAATGCAGAGGAAAGCGCAAGAAGCGAATGTGTCGAGTGAAGAAGAAGAGGAGATGATGAGGGAATTGGAACGCAAAGAGACGGAGTTGATGAGATTGCAGAGGCACAAAATGGGAATTGATGACTTTGAGCAATTGATTGCGATTGGTAAAGGTGCGTTTGCTGAGGTATGTATTTATGTACCTTTACATCATCATTGTAGTCAATGGTGAATTGCATTTTGTTGAATTGTCATCAAGTATAATGCAATGCTTAATGAAATTTAATAGTAGCCTCACTAATTATATGTTTTCTATTTTTCACCTGATTTTTGATTAGTTATGTTCTTAGTGGATGTGATGATTCAGAATTTTACCTACTCTTCATAGTCGAGGTGGCACAAGCTGTCTCGTACACCTAAGTTGTCAATATATATATATATACATTCTCAAATGGCAATTTGTTAGACATGAGTTGAATTTGTTTCCCTGAACCTAACACTAGCAATGAAGTTTCTGAAATCAGAGCATTTGGTTTAATTCCTCAAAAAATGACTCGAGCATTTATTGGAATTTTTATATGTCTTTTATTTTTCCTTAAGAAAGTATTTTTGTTAGTCCCTCATTTTGAATATTTATCTAAGAACTCAATTTGGGGCATGTTCACCCTGTTCACATCTGAAGCTCCTTGATTTAGTTTTAGACTTTAGTATTGACTATCACTATCTCGTTGTTATCTCTTGATTTGAACAATGGTTTGCTTTGCTTGTGGACTTTACTTGAGTTTTTCTTTCTTTGTTGTTCTTTTTCTTGCTCTCAATTTGAACAATGATTTGCTTTCTCTCACTATTGATTAAGTGAAGGTGGTTACGGTCGCATCTTTTATAGGTGATTTGACTTATGATCCAACTAAGTAATGCAGGTTTGGCTACGCCGTGCCAAAAGTACAGGAGAGATTTTTGCAATGAAGAAATTGAAGAAATCAGATATGCTTAGCCGTGGACAGGTGACAACATGCAATTAAAGCAAAATTAACTTTTGCTAATGATGCTTTCCCTTGTAGTATTATTGAAGCCTTTTTTAGTATCTTTGTTCAGGCTTTATGTCTTCCATTATATTTTTAAAGATTGAGATTGGTTACTATAAAGAACATGACAAAATATGAGAGAGCTAGAGAGAGAGAGAAGTGCACATTTGTGTATAGTTAAAAAGGTCATAACATCTTGGTATAACTTAGGAGAGGTGAATATCCATGCTAACTGCCCAATTCACATATGCTTTCATTTTCATTTCAGCAATATAAATTATCTAGGATTTCTGCCTCTCTTTTTTTTCCTTCTTTTTCCCATCCCCTGAATGTCACTTTCGAGACAACCAAATAACAATAAAATAAACTGGATATTTGTTCAAAGATATTCAAATCCATTATAGAAAGCAATTCTCGTGGTTTTTACCCATTTCTTTGAAAGAAAAAGAAAAAATAAAATGAATAGAATTTTCAATTGTTTGTAAAAAATATTGTCTCTGAGCAATCTTGTTAAAGTTTCTTTTCCTTTCTTTTCTTTTTGCTTTTTGCTTTTCGTTTTGTTTTGTTGTGTTTTTTTTTTTTTTTTCTTTCTTCCTCAGTTTTAACTCAATGAGTATATTGATAGAAGGATGAGTTCACATGACACTAATAGTTAATGCTTAAAAGATTATTCTGCTTCATCTTGTACCATGGCTTAGGAAGGTGTTATCCTTTATTATGTGAAAATACCCATTTCTGAGTCTGTTATTGAACTTTTGTTTATGCACTCAGAATTGAGTTATGCTGATATTTTCTGAAAGTTGATCTGAATTCTGAAGTCAACTGTGCTATTTTCGTGCATCACAATTTGTAATTAAACTTTTTACTACATTTAGGTTGAGTATGTTCGATCAGAGAGGAATTTGCTAGCGGAGGTTGATAGCCGGTGCATCGCGAAACTCTTCTATTCTTTCCAAGATTCTGATTTTTTATACCTTATCATGGAGTACCTACCTGGTGGTGATATTATGACGTTACTGATGAGAGAGGATGTTCTTTCTGAAGATGTCGCACGATTTTATATAGCAGAAAGTGTTCTAGCTATTCATTCAATTCACCACCACAACTATGTGCATACGTATTGTAGTATTGCAATGGGTTTTGTTTTTTTGCATCTTTATTTTTTTTACCTAAACCATTCAAGTGAAATTCTATCTACTTTTTCCCTAAAAAGAGTGTCGAATTACTTTAGTGTCTATAAAGTTTTTAAGTTTTGCTTGATTTAGTAATTCGTGTCTTAGAGTGCATCATTGAATGTAATTATGCAAATTTCAATTACATATTGTTATTTATCAAACCTATTGCAAGCACCACCAAAAGTTGAAAATTTACGTATAATTCTTCACATGTTTTTTCCGCTGCTAAAAGGCAGTCTGGGTGCTGCATGATGTCCATAATGTCTTGGTAATCTTTCCTTATTTTTTTCTTTTTTTTCTTTTTAGTGAGAATTGTTTTCATGTTGTTGTGTCATCAGTTTCAAACTTGCCCATTTCTGGCACTTTAATTGGATGTTACAGAGGCTTTATGGCTCTTTGTTGACTTTTATGGTCTATATTTTAGAGCTTATTATTTTTTCATTCATGCATTATGGACTGTACCTCTGAAGGAAGTTTCAGCTATACTTCTGGTGTAGATGTCTGTAGAAATCATGTGCGCATGTGGAAACATTTTAATATAATTTCTTTGCTTGCAGGGACATCAAACCAGATAACCTGATACTGGACAAAAATGGCCATTTAAAGCTCTCAGATTTTGGCTTGTGTAAGCCCCTAGATAATAAATATTCGACAATATTGTTGGAAGATGAAGATTTTTCAACCCAGGATTCAACACATGACAATGAAGGGCATTCTAGCTATGAGAGGCCTCCTTGGTTAATGCCAAAGGAACAAGTACAACAGTGGAAACGCAATCGCTGTGCATTGGTATTCTCTTTATTTTCTTTCTTCAGATGCTTATTTGTATCCAAGTAACAAATAGCAGTGTGAAATTATATAATTTGACATTCTTTTAGGTTTTACTTGTTCTCATCTTCACCTCCTGCTGTTGTTGTGAGTACTTGCTGTGTTCTGTGTTCTGCAGGCATATTCTACCGTTGGAACTCTCGATTATATGGCACCTGAAGTTTTGCGTAAAAAGGGATATGGAACGGAGTGTGACTGGTGGTCATTGGGGGCAATCATGTATGAGATGCTCATAGGCTATCCACCCTTCTGTTCAGAAGATCAAAGGATGACATGTAAGAAGGTATCCTAATCCCTTGTAGTTCCTAGTGTTTGATTCTTGGAAGATAAAAGAAAATTTTTATGTTGTCAAGCAGGAAGATGAGAATGACATGAAAAAACATTTGGTGAAGCATTATCTAAATCTGCCATCAAGAAATTTTCTTGAAACTGGCTATTTTCTGGAAATGCTAAATTGACTAGTGAAACCAATTTTATTCAGAAAACTATGCAAAACCTCAATCTGAATTTCCCTTAGTTATTTTTATGCATATCCTTCATTTTGCAGGATGTATCATGTTTCTTTTTTTGTGTCAGATAATCAATTGGAAAGCATGCTTGAAATTTCCTGAGGAGCCAAAAATATCAGATGAGGCTAAGGATCTAATCTGTCATTTGTTATGCGATGTTGAAACAAGGTTGGGAACCAATGGCGTGGAAGCAATAAAGGTAATAACCTAATGAAAAATTGGGTTTTCCCCACACTCTACATGTCAGGTGAACTTGTTATTTCTGAAAATGTGAGCTAATGCTGTTCTGTTTTAACTAGGCACATCTATTGGTTCAATGGTTAAGACTTGGCCTAATAACCTTGAGGTTATTGGTTCAAGTCTTGGGACCACCACTTTGCACATTATGCCAAAGATTTGATGTATACTCGATCTTTCCCCTCCCAAACACACAACAATGTGTACTAATTGAGCGTGGTTTTTTTTTGTTTTTTGTGTGTGTCTAGGCACATCCATGGTTTAAATGCATTCAATGGGACATGCTATATGAAATGGAAGCAGCCTACAAACCTACTGTCAGTGGAGACTTGGACACTCAGAATTTTGAGAAGTTTCCTGAAGTAAGTACACAGATCGTAATTGCATTAGATTTGTGGTTTCTTCTTTCCATTGTGCTGTGTTCAGTAAATCAGTGCCTCACATGTTAACCCCCTAGTTGGATCATGCTTTTTTTAACACCTAGATCCCTGTTCTTGGTTTTCCCCCTTTCATTGTATCACTTCCAATTTGAGTATTGTGGTCAGTGGTAACACCCGCCCCCCAACACACACACACACACACACACACACACAAAAAGGACAAAAACCAAACACTGTAGAAGAAAAAAAAAGAGGCGGAAGAAGAACCTCAGCCATTTCTCAAGTATTATCCCTACACTTTACTATGTGAACTTGTCACAATCGCAATAATTTGCTTAAATTGCTTTCATTATTTTGTCTTGCCCCTCGCCCATATCAACTATGGATTTATTACAAATTTTAAACCATGGTTTGGAAGTTTCTTATGGTTCCTGTTTATAATATAGTGTTTATTTATTTTTTTTCCTGTTTCCTCTCCCTTGAGTTTCTTAACATTTGCTGTTTGATAGGTAGGAGATCCACCTTCCATCCTACCTAGAGTGGGACCATGGCGAAAGGTAAATGAGTTTTTAATCACTTTAAATTATTGGATCAATTTGGATTGCTAACATTGAAAAAACATGTGAAAGTAGAGCATTCATAACAGCCCATCTACATGTTTTATTAAAAAAAATTTTCATTGCAACAAGTTAAATTTCCAAATAACTCATTAGAGTTTATTGAGCTTGTAAGTTAACACTTTGTGCATATTAATGTTAGAGTTGAGCTTTATTAGCTATGTTGTGGTCTCTTAGTATTTATTTGAACAGTGTTATTGCAAGTATTTGCACAGATTGTAGTACATAAACTCAAAACTTTCCAAATATCGGTGTTTTAATGTACTTCTAAGGACGTGTGTATGTATATATATGTTTATATGTTGATAGGAGTTTCAAGAAAGAAAAATAAATTGTTTTACTCACCTTTAAAAATCTTGACCAACTAAGAAAAACTGGCTTGGTCTTCTGCATTGCGAACCAGAAACTAGACTAACAAAAGAATTACACGGTTCTGATTGAGAGTATAGAACAGGAGGATACTACGATATGTTGGTTTAAGTTATAAGGAAAGACATGGTTTTTAATCTTTTAACCAAATCAAGGATTTATGCAGCTTGCTCATAAGGCCTCGTGGAAATTCTATCTATCCCAAGTGTTTTAACTTTGTTGCATAAATTACATTGAGATATTTAGTTGTTTAGCTCTGTTATGTTCATTGTGATAATTTATTATTCTAGTGTAAATTTGTTTCTTTTTAAGTTATTATCATATATTTTGAAGTATGTTTTGCATGTCCAATTTTGCAGATGTTGACATCAAAAGATTCTAATTTCATAGGGTATACTTTCAAGAAATCTGACATCCCACAATCAGTTAAAACTTCAGGTGAGCTGCTTAAGTAGTTGTATTGATACTATTAATGCACGTTTTAGTGTATCTAACTCTTCCATGATGAAGCTTCTTGATCTGTATCCAAAAGTGAAACTTGCAGATCCAGATTAAATGAAAAGCACTTGCAATAAGGTAATACATGCCAAAGGCCAAGGAACTGAAATTGTGCGTAGATCGGACTAGGACCTGTGTGGTCACCTCTTAACAATCTGATTCTAGCATTGAATGTTATCCCAAAATAATCTGCCCTAGTCCACTGTTTTCCTACCCTCAAAAGTTATCCCTCTGTCCGTTAGGGCACTAAACCCAACCCAATAAAGGGTTTCATTGTAGTTATTTATTTTTTCAGGAATTTGATGATTCACTGGCGAGGAACTTTCGATGGATGTTTTAGGGGATATATTCTCTTAAGAGTTCTCCTTTATAATGCTTGCGTTATTTGGGTTTAGTTGTTAGATTTGAGGATGTTTTGATGAGGAAACATTTTTTAAAAAAGTGATTAATGAAAGTTAAAAACAGTTGTGTCATGTTATATGTCCTTGTTCTTATATACAGCTGTGTTTTACTTGCAGATGATACTTTAAAAACTGCTATTCATCGTCAATTTATCTAACTCTTCCATGATGAAGCTTCTTGATCTGTATCCAAAAGTGAAACTTGCAGATCCAGGTTAAATGAAAACCACTTGCAATAAGGTAATACATGCCAAAGGCCAAGGAACTGAAATTGTGCGTAGATCGGACTAGGACCTGTGTGGTCACCTCTTAATAATCTGATTCTAGCATTGAATGTTATCCCAAAATAATCTGCCCTAGTCCACTGTTTTCCTACCCTCAGAAGTTATCCCTCTGTTCGTTAGGGCACTAAACCCAACCCAATAAAGGGTTTCATTGTAGTTATTTATTTTTTCATGAATTTGATTCATTGGCTAGGAACTTTCGATGGATGTTTTAGGGGATATATTCTCTTAAGAGTTCTCCTTTATAATGCTTGTGTTATTTGGGTTTAGTTGTTAGATTTGAGGATGTTTTGATGAGGAAACATTTTTTAAAAAAGTGATTAATGAAAGTTAAAAACAGTTGTGTCATGTTATATGTCCTTGTTCTTATATACAGCTGTGTTTTACTTGCAGATGATACTTTAAAAACTGCTATTCATCGTCAATTATGGCCGTGCCACTATTATTTTTTTCTTTTTTGGTGGATCTAATGCTAGTTATAGAAGCATCATATGTTCAATTTATATTCACTAGTTTCTGTGCAGGTACAGACATGAGATCAAATGGGTCTTCAAAGGTGCCATCTTTAACGACCTTGTTTGGTATGTTAGAAAATTTTCTAAATACAGTTGTTTGTATATGTATCAGCAATTATTTATACTTAAAACACAAATTGCTATGATAAATATTTTAAATTACATTGATCGAGTTGCAATGCCCTGTTCTTATTAGGTTCGCATTATCCTCTTTTCTTCTTGTAACATTTGGATTTTATATATGATGGCAACTGCTTGTGTCTAAATGAAAGGCTTTGGATTAGTACAAGCATTTTCACACCATCCATGATCCGGATTTTAAACGATAGAAACTGGTGGTTGATAAGTGATGGTTTTTCTTCTTGTTACAGGCCAGATACGCTTGGAAGAAAATGTCTTGATGGAGGGTGATGAAAAGGAGGGAACTTGATCATCAACATTCAGTTGGCTTTATACCAGAGCTAGCATTCTAAATTCTTCACGAGTGTAATCTGAAAAGTAGTAGCTATTATAGAAGACTGAACTTGGTACAGATTTCTGTAGAAAACATGAATAAGAAAAGGTCAACTTTCGAGTTGATATGATTTTGATCACATTTTTTTGTTCTTCCCACCTCAATTCTGTAATGTATAAGTGCCAATGTACAGCCAAAAGTATGTTCAGTTCATTCCAAGTATGATCTCTCTCTCTCTCATTTGTTGGCAACATATGTCCGGTTGAAGAACAAAACGTTCTAGTATCAAATTTCTTGTTCAAATATCTGATGTTGGAGAAAGTATTCGTTCATAATTGATATTTTGTTTTGATGCAAATGAATTTTGTTGGGATAGGATTTTTGTAGTTTTATTTACATTTACCTTTTCGGTTGGTAGGTATGTAGGATCATGGCGTTTGCCATTATGATCTTTTATGGCCGTAACTTGTCTGAATTACCATGGCTAGAGGCAGACCCTTTTAGTGAATTTTTTATTTTTTTAATTAAAATATGAGATGAAAAAAATTATTATGTTTAGATTAGCTTCTAATTTTTATGAAAAAGATATGTAAAATGCACAGTAAATGAAAATAAAATTTTGACTTTATAATATTTGTTAATTTTTAGACTTTTTAATAAATTTTTGACTTTTAAGCAAAAATGTGAACTTGTTAAATAAGACCTAATGTTTCATTGCTCAAGTAGCGTTTGACAATCTATCAGTCCAGTGTCAGTTTTTCCATTTCAGACAGTTTTATCAAGTCTATTAATGCATCTATCTAAACATTGAACTGTGCGATCTCTGAAACTCCATGAAATACAATAAGCTTGCATGCCATTACAAATATTATAGTGAGACACTATGATAAAAAAGCAAAATCATCTGCCTTTATGCCATTAATGTAGATATTTGTGTGCTTCTTGTGAATATCATAATTAACTCTACAAAAATAGGACGAAACAGAACTGTGCTCATGTCATCATGCACATTGGCAAACAAGGAAATCTCTCTCTCTCTCTCTCTCAGAGTACCTTCTCCCCCCAGGGAGGTATTTTAAAGCATCCCTTGCATAGAACATTACAACTGCAATGCCAACACAATTACATTTTAAGAGAAGCCATATGCTATCAAGCATCAACTCCAAGTTTAAGCATGAAAGGAAGCGCATAAACCATATTGACTGGTACTGAAAGGAATGAGCCAAATTGTATTACTGGCTGTACTTGTTTTCCTTCCACTTAAGTCTGGTCTGAGGCTTGTGAAGCCTTCTCCATGTTGCATTCTGACACTTCAATGCTAGCAGGCTCCTTCAAAATAGTTGCCTCTGTTGGTTTTCCTCCCAAGAAAGTTTGTTCAACCGTGAAGGCTTCGAACATGTCTTCTTTAGTCAATACCTTCTTCGAGCCTAATTCACCATCTTCATCTGTTTCATTCTCACTCTCCATTAAAGCCTTTTTGAGGCCTGTTAGGCTAGCTCTCTCTTTGGCCCTTAATTCAGCATGAACCTTGGCTAATTGCTCTCTGTTGGCACTTCTCTTGATCTGAGAGGCCAATTTTGGACTTTCTTTTTCTTCTGCTTGGCCTTTTGACTGGGCCAATGAAGAGTTCTCTCCACTTTTCTTCATATCATTTTGATCTCCAGGGTACTTTTTCTGAATATTTCTCCTCTGAGTCCTGATGGTGATTACTCGACCCATATCTAGTCCCTCAAAATTTTTCTGCCAGACAAACCAATTTGGAACCCCAGATACCCATGAACTCATAAGCCCTCTCAGCCCTCTTAACCATTTGTAGCTTAACCTGCATCTGGAACACATCCTTCGCATGACAGCTGTCTCTAAAGAATCATCATCCAATGCTTCCTCACTAAAATCATCCTTCTGGGCTACAAAGCTCTGTCCATTTGTTGTCGAACTTCTGGTGCTATAGTTATTGGCTGGCTGATTCCAATCATTTGGGAGCTCTCTTAACCATATGCAGCATGACCTGCATCTGGGATGCATCATTTGCATGACAGTTGTCTCCAAAGATATATCATCCAGTGCTTCCTCACTATAATCATCTTTTTGGGTTGCAAAGCTCTGTCCATTTGCTGGCGAACTTCTGGTTTCTTTCTGGGAGGCAATCTGGCTAGCACCATATGCACTGCAATGATGCCCTCTCCTAATTACAAATATTCCCACAAATGAGGGTGAGAGTAAGAGGAAAACATTCACAAATCATAACAGAACTAACGAGAAGATACTCTTAAAAATTGATAATTTCCAGCTAATTTCAATGACAAGTCTGCTCACATCTTTGAAGGTTTGGGGAAAATGACAGGTGTGAATTTCTGTGCGGCACTTAGACTGCCCTCAACGTTCATTGCAAACGTGCATCCATCCCAAAAATAGTTTGAGTGACTGAATTCAATGAAATAGAACACATTTCACAGAACAATGAGAAAAATAGAAAAAAGAAAAAAAGAAAAAAAGGAGCCCTTAAATATAGCAGCACCAGCACCTCATGAAAGCAATTAGCGGATGCATCTGCCAAGAGGCAATCTTGAAAAAATCTTCATCTGTGAAAGAAAATATTGCATCGGGCTTCTCATCCTCATATGGCCCTAAAACCCCAAAATCACCAATCAAATAAATAATCACAGATTAACAGCATTTGATTCAATTCTTCATTTCTCCAATATTAATTATAAGATCAAGAAAAATTCAAGATTTTTGGAAATTCTGTCGTTGGGTCCATCCGAATTTAACAATCATCAATTGCTACGTATATACACAATGAAAAAACAAATGAATTTGGGGTGGGGGGAAAAAACTAAAACCCTAACCTTTCCTGACCTCTCCTTTTTTGAGATCAACAACATAGATGTCCTCATTGAATCCAATTTTCTGTGATTGAACAAACGAAAGGGTTAGTATTAAGATCCATGTAACTGCGACAATACAACAAACATATAGGGTACATACAAATATGTAAAAGATATGAGAGAGAGAGAGAGAGAGAGAGAGAGAGAGAGAGAGAGACCTTGGGAGCTATGTTGAATTGATAAACGAGGCCGATCTTCTTGGTGAGATGTTTGCCAGCGTCGGAGGAGAGGTGGAGCTTCATCTGCTCCAGTAACTCGGACTTCAGCTCAGACGACTTCGCCATTTTTGCTGCTTTTGATATCATGCACATAAACTTGATTATGATACTTTAAAATGATTTAAAAAATAAAATAAAATTGGACGGCTGATAGGGATTGATATCTAACCTAATGCCTCTATTTAAGGAGACATATTATCTTTTCTTGCTCTATGATATATATTTTTGGGTTGCAATTTTTAATTTTTATATGCAAAAATGCTTTGTATCCAATTTACACCTCCCAAAACCCAATCCCATGTGGACTAAACAATGCAATCCAGACCTAAACAGATGCTGCAAATGCTGTGAAACAAGGCCAATGGTCTGTAATGGGCCCTAGAAGGGTAATAGAGAGAAGAACAGTCTCTAAAATAGCTATTTAAATTTAACAAAGATTGCATTACTTTAACTGCGCACCAACTTATGTAGACCTAATTCTAGGATACTTACATTGCATGTTTACTAAATCACCACTTTAATTAACATTGCATGTTTGATTCTAAGGCCAATGGTCTCTAAAGTTTACTAATTGTAGGATACAACAGGCACATTGCATATTTCATTCCAAGGTTTACGTATCAAAGTCATATAAGACTATTACTTAAGCACAAAATTCAAAGACTATTACTTAAGTACAAAATTCAAACAAAGACTCAGATAGATGGTCCAAAAACACAAATAATTTCAGATTTTGAATGTGCAGGAAAAATAGGCAAAAATTGGCTGCATTACTAAACTAGGCGAAAAAGCAATGTAATTTGCACTCCACGAATTGTTACATAGGAAGAAAAGTCTGTGCCATAAGATTGAAAAAGAGGGCCCCCATTTGATATAACAGGGCAGTTTAACCCAAAGACAAAAATCACAGTAAAACTGACATTTGTATGTTGAATATTTCAATCATGAAAGTTATACTATTTATCTTAAAAAGTCACTAGCAGGAAAAAAAATAAATAAATAACTTGAACAAACTTTTAACATTAAAGAATGAATAAATTTTTCCAAATTTTTATTACTATGATTTGTTTAATAGAAATATCACAGTAAAATTTTTAACTCCTACACAAACAGAGAATTAATAAACCAACTCCTACACAAACTTTTAACATCAAAATAAATTTCCCCAAAATTTTCCTAAACCCTAACTATTCTTATTTTTCCCAATTTGAACAAATTTGAAATACATACATATATATATATATATATATATTTGAAATACATGCTGAACAAATTTAAAATAAAAAATAACCAAAACAATGAGATCGACAATGAAGGTTTCAAATTTACCCACACTTTTTCTTTCAATTTTTTTCTTTAAATGTTTTTAACTCTTCCATCGTTTTTGTTTATTTTATTTTGCAGGTATATTAAAACCACCACAACCTTGTACCTTAAATAACTAATTAAAATTAAGTTAATTATATATAAGAAGAAAAACAGAGAGTTAATAACACACCCACACCCGCTCTCGCTCTCACTCTCACTCTCACTCTCACATGATGTATACATATAGTTGCGTTAGCAGTATAATATTTAAAATTTATTCAATCTCTTAGATCATCCCAGTAGAGTATGTTATTTTAATACTGTCAATGTCTAATATTTTTTAGTTTACGCTGCAGTGCCAACTTGTCGTATTTTAAGACTTTGGCTCCACTGAACGTCACGATGCAATTTTTTTATCATATGATGTGAGGGCGCGGATCGATTGCGGCCACGAAACCTCTAATCCGCCATTCGTCCGCCAGATTGGCGGATTGGAGAAAATACGGATGCGGATTTGGCGGATTGGCGGATTGATACGAATCGGTTTAGCGGTTTGAAATTTTACCAATTTTCAACATAAAAAAAAAACAATGCAATATTTGTTCATTCTTCACATCTATGAAACAACCTGGACAGTAATGATGGCATTATATTGGAATTTTTTCCCAAATGGAATACTGGCAGTGTGTTTCAACCCTGTTGTTGTCCAACATAATGCCAATATAATTCCAATACTCTATGCACAATATAGGATGGCCTTGTGACATTTAGAAAAAGTGCCAATAATGCTGGACCTTACATACTTAAGTCCCCATATAATATAAAGTGCAAAAAAGTTGGTGGACAATCTGTTTAGTATAAAGGGTGATGTTATTGGGCTGCAGTTAAGAATAAACAATGCAATATTGGCATTATATTGGAATTTTTTCCCAAATGGAGGTTGTCCAGAGAGTAACAGTCAGCTCAGTGTGTTTCAACCCTGTCCGTCTGTTTATTGCCCGCAAGAAAGCTCATCACTTTCAGCCCTTTTCACATCATAAATATTTCCACACTACAGCAGTCAACCATAACATACATAATTCCAAACATATCCAATAAAAGATAACAAGATGGAAAATGGCATACAGTGGAGTGGAGTGCCTCGCCACCAACATACAAAAGTATGAGACCACAATCACTCTAAAAAAGTATGATACCACAATCAACCATAACATACCACAATCAACAATCAATCTATAAATGACCACCACCAGATAAAATCAATCTATTTTGTCCACAGCACTCCATGTGTATGATACCACAAATTTTACTAATTTTACTAAATCATAAACCAACCATGTAAACAGACCCATTTTTTATGGTTAACTAAACAAAAAAATAATTCACAGACCCCTTATCAGTATTTATGCAAGGCCTTAACATATTCATTTTTTATGGTTAACTAAACAAAAATAACAACAGAGATTCATTTTTTTTTTTTTTCTAACCCAACCAAACAAAACAAATCAATTAATTTTCTGCTTATATTTCTAACCCAACCAAACAAAACAAATCAATTAATTTTCTGCTTATATTTCTAACCCAACCAAAAAAATAATTTTTTTTGTTGTTCACAGACCCATTAATTCCTTTTCTTTTCACAAAGCCAAAATCCAAAGGCATCTAAAGTTCCAAAACATAGCAAAAATGAGAAGGGAAAGGAGAAATCTATCCTAATATATACAGTAAAGGTTGCTAGTGTTGCTGGCACTTATATATAAATTATTAGAGCATATATATATATATAATATATTAACTTCTGTTTAATGCAAATCGATCGATCGTCGTTCGATTAACTTCTATTTAATCGATCGATCGTCTAGAGAGAGAGAGAGAGAGAGAAAGAGACCTCACTGTAGATCGATCGTCGTTCAATGCAAATCGATCGCCGTTCAGAAGTGTAGATCGTCGGTCAGAGGTTCAGTGTGTAGATCGTCGCTCATCACTGTGTAGATCGTCGGATGTGTTGGGTTCACTGTGTAGATCGTCGGATGAGAAATTAGGGCAAAATCTAAAGAAAAGGGGCCTGAGGCGTAAGTAAAAATTGAGTCTGAGTTTGAGAGTCACGGGCGGGTCGGGTCTATTGGGTAAAATGACGGATCACCAGTCACTCGACCCGAACCCGAGAAAACTGAAAAATCAGGCCCACACCTGCCCGTCAGGGGTCACGCATCCATTCATTAGGTGTCGGGTCGGGCGGATTTGACGGGTCAATGATCCGTTGCACAGCCTACGTACCTAATTATAAGTATTTACAATATTATTAAATTGAACTTTTAAATTTATATGGACAAATTATACAAATAATTTTTATATTTTAGTCTTTGTATTATTTTAATCCTTATAATTTTAATTGGAGCATTTTTTATTTTAAATTTATAAATTTCTCTCAGTTTAATTTAATTGATAATAACTGTTAGTACAACACATTGATTATTACTTTTTCTTCAAAATCATAACAACATTCACAAAATATCATAATTTTTAAAAATTCAAATACAATTGATTTTGTAGTCAATTGGTATAGCATATAACACTGTCTTAATTTTTGTCGTTACAGCACAAGCAATTGTATATTCAATTGACATGAAAGAGTGAATGGAAAATCATAAATGATTGCAAAATCGATTGGGTTGAAAGATCATAATTGATTGTACAATCAATTAATAGCCACTGTAAATGAGAGGAGAGAATAATCACAATTGATTGTACAATTGATTAGTATAAGTTTATGTTGTTATTTAATCGAATGTATAATTTATTAAATAAACTTACATTTCACTTAATTTTACATATTTTTTTTTTCTTTTTCAAATTTCTTTTCTAAATTTATAAGCCAAATACAACTTTAACCTTCGATAAAAATAAAATAAAATAAAATAAAACATTTCCGGCATGCAACCTCTTATAAATTCATCCTAATCATTGTTGGCTCAAAAACCAATATAAGATGCCAACAAATAGTATAAACAAAAGTGGTTGTGACACTCAATTATTTATGAAATTTGCTCTTTATGAATTAGTTTTCTACATACAAATATGAAATAATTTGTTTGGTTGTGGGTTATATGGTGGGTGCTCAGAGGAGTTGGGGGAAGAACTAGCTAAGAAAATTACGATAGTGGGACATGTATTATTGTGTTCCTATCTTGAAGTGTGAAAAAAAACAAAAAACAATGACTTGAGAAGTCAGCCATATACAAAACCTTACTTGAGAATACCAAAAATATAGGGAATACTCAACTTTTTCTTTTTTTTTTTCTTCAAGAAAACTGGCACAGGATTCTTTTGTCACAACCCTGTTTAAAAACACTACAACTATTGAATGAAATAGAGATCTTATTGCTTTGCCAAATGAATGGAATAGAGAGATGTGTCTAACTATGTTTTTAACTTGGAAAATGATATATAAATCCATTTTTTAAATTCATTTTTTTACACTCAGTGATATATCAAAAAGATGATTGGTTGATAATTAGAAAATATTTAATTACCCACAAATCATTTTCTCAACACATTATAGAGTTTGAAAAATTAGTATAATTTTTAGATTTGAACAACAATATTCTTTTAACATTATTGTTTTATTAAATGAAATAGAGATTTTCGTACTATTTATGAAATAGAGAAGATGAAAATCCAATGTGTTGTTGTGAGGTTGATTGAGTAAGTAGGTATGGGCCCATTTATTATCATTGATAAATTAGTTTTATAATTATAATTTTTTAAATTATTAATTTACAAGGTTTAAAATAAATTGAATATATTTTTGTCGAATGATGTAACCAAAATATGACACATAATAAAACACTTCCAAATAATCTACCAAATTTGTTACCAAATCTCTCCTATGATGCGAGAGACCCACATAAAAATATTACACTATCAAAACAAAATGTGCCAATTGTAACACACACATATACATACATATATGTGTGTGTGTGTGTGTATGTAGATTATTGGAACAAACAATTTTGAATGAAATTATTAGATATTTGATGCAATACAAATGAATAGATCAGGATGTTGCAACTAGTCATCTTTACAATCCAGTTCAGGTTCTAGTTCTTGGACATATCCCAATCGAGTGGAATTGACATAATCTTGAGGAAAATGAGCAGAAAATCCAGGAATCGCAAACCCGATTAGCCTAAGCAACCTCAAAAGCCAGCCTTCTTTATAGACTGTTCCCTTTATGTATGGGATGATGAAACCCCTAATCATCTCCATCACTGCATTCAAGAACATAGGTATTGCCCACAACAGTGAGAAGTAGTTCTTGTTTGGTTCCTCCTCTACTACCTGGATATTACCCAATGTAATGTGTTAGTCTGACTCTCAATCAAAATTCTCGAGATAGAGAATTAATTTAGTCTGAGTTTTTTTGGGACAGGGTTTTCTTGGCTGGTTAAGAATCACTTTAGTCGGCAATGTGAGTTGATCTTTATACACTTTTTCCCTCATATTTTTTTTTTCTTTTTTGTCATTTTATTTTTCTATTCCATCTTTTTTTGAAGGCCCATTAACTATGGGTATGGATATCCCATTAACTATTGGTTTGGATATGTGTAAATAAAAACACTAGTGGACCAGGCTCAAAATAGTAGGTGGTTTGAAATTGATTTTTTTGGTAATTTTTTTTAAGTGTACTCTAAAAAAAACCTTATTTAAGAATATACATTTTCAGGTCTATACAATTAGACGAACAAAATAAGTAAAAATAAAAAATTTAAAAAAAGTCAACCCAAAAAAAAAAGAAAAAGAAAAAAAAAACAGAGAAAGAGATATGACTAACCTTGCCTTTATAGCAGCTGGTAAAGTATAGACAAGGCCCAAAGTGCTTATACAAGAAAATGTTGTTGTCATATGGTAATCTAGGCACCATATCATTGCAATAAACATACCTCAAATATTTCACATCATAAACCCTCAATTTCTCCTTCATGAACTCTCCAAATTGTTCATTCCCAACCCTAGGCTGCCCAAAAGTGTAAACCCCATCCAACCTCTCCAACAACCATGCCTCCTCATGTAACACTAGCACTGCCACAAATAGAATTGCTAATGCCCCTCCCAAACTATGTCCGGTCACTATAAACTTTGTTTTCTCATATTTCTTGTCCATTAATATGTCTTTGAGCTTTTGTCTAATTGTGTAGTATGCAAATGATGGTTGGCCAGGGCCCATATCTATCTCTTTGGGCCAGCCTGTTTTCTTTTGTAGGCCTAGAGCTTTCATAAAGCCACCGTGTATCTTACCCACATCATGAAGGTCAAACCATGAGAAGTCAACATCTGTCCGCCATTTATCCGCATCGAATGGCTCTGTGCCTCTGAATGCGACCATAATTAGGTCAAGGTTAGAGGTTGTGTCGTTGAACATCATGGCTTGTGTTGAGATTTGCTCTTCATAATCTGCAAAATAAATAAATAAAATTGGATTATAACAAGTTATTTTTCACCTATATGTACCCCCAATAACTCTTTATTGACAAATATCAATTTTAATATGTAAATACAAAAAAAAAAATAAATTGATAGCATAATTAGGAGTGATGAGTAGTATGATTCAAGACAAATAAATTGTCAAAATTGAAATGTGACAAACACTTGTTGAAAAGTGGTTGTATGGTCATAATTAAGAGGGGAATCAAATTTTTTTATCTAGTAGAGGCGAATTCGTAATGAAATTATATACAAAATTTTGAAATTTTCTTACTAAGATTTTGAAAATTATAGATAAGAATATGATTTTCCAAAAAATTGGTGGAGCAAGTGATCTACTACACCATGTCTATATATTATGTTGGTTTGGGCTATTTATTTAGCATCTTCATAATTTTTTTTAAAGTTATGCTAGAAATTCTAAATATTTTATCAAATATTTTACTAAATTTTTCACATGGGTGTGAGACACGCACATGTAGATTGGTATAAGTCTTACTCATGTGAAAAATTTGATAAAATATTTAAGATGTATAATATATATATATACATATATATATTTTTTATTTTTATAATGTACTTATCTTTTTGATAACTGATGTTTTGGTTGTTAGTTAGCAAGATATCCAAAACATAATTTAAGTGATCTTCTTTTGAGATGAGATTTTGAAAGTCGCATCATCTATTAAATTATATATTGAAAAATTTTAATCTTTAACCCCAGATTCGGACGGTCCAGCACATGATTTTCAAAAAAACATAATCTTAATGTCCTCCCTTTTATTTTAATCAGAGATTATTTAAAAATATATAAACAAATTTTTTATATATTATAAATTCAACAATTGCCTATGTCAGAAAACTTCAATAATGACAACATTAATTCAATGAGTAGGGCTTCTCTCATGGGTTTGACGGTCCATTTACTTTATGTTGGTGACTCTTAGTCATTACAATATGCCTCTATTTGGGAAGAGGTTTTTTGAGTTTTTTTGGTTAAAATAGTTACAAAAGATAAAATAGGTTATTTTAGTCACAATAAATAAAATATCACATCTAATTTATAATCATTACACTCTTCCCTCACAAAAAAAATTAAAAAAGTTAAAAAGTCCTTTCCAAACCAAGCTTTTTAGCCCAGGCTAAAATAGTAAAAAAAGTCAAAAAGTCAACTCACTTCTCAAACGAAGCCTATATAAAAATTTTAGAAACTAAATATTTTAACTTTTAAATGTGAAAATTTTGTTACAAAAGGCATTTAGGGATCAATTTTCATCGTCATGAGAATAATCGTTAAAAGATCGTCCTGAAAAGTAAAAAATAAAGCTTCTAAAAATAAAATTTTGAAAATGTTACTAATAAATAGACTTTTAGAAACAAAATAATTTGGTTTTAAAATAATTTATTTTTTGAGACAAAAAATTTGGTCCAAAAAATATAATAATTCATTACTAATGTCTAATTTTTGTTACTAAAAATATAATGATACTTTTCGTAACAAAATTATTTGGTCTCTAAAAAATAATTTTATTTCTAAATTTTAGTCTCTAAAACCTTAATTTTTTTGTAGTGAGTGCAATTTGGTAATTTGAATTGTTCATTTTATAGCACTTGCATAGTAAATCATCCATGAAAAAAATTAAGTTGATCAAATATTGATAGCCATATGATCGGATCACAAAGACATATACAAAAATAGATGATTCACTTTCAAAACCATACTTAATTATTATTATTATTATTATTTGTTTGCATGATTTTGTAATCCCATTATGTGAAATATTAATATTTGATCAATTTAATTTTTTTACATAAATGATTTAAGATGAACAACTTCATCGTTCAGGTGGCCCCATTGTGTACATATAATAAAAAGGAAATAAATGTTAAAAAAAAAAACTTGAGCTTTAGCTTTACAATAATCTCTTCGGTGAACTCTTAACTGAGAGTACCGAAATGTGATCCGCAAAGCTAGTTCAATTAGTTGACAAATATATTTAAAAAGTAAATTAAGTATTGTTGGATTTTAATCCAAGTTGTCACTTGATATATACTCGGCTGCTTCCATCAATTAATATAGAATAAATCAAAGACAAGAGATTATAAGCATCTTACCTATGCAACTAGCTCACATGAGAAGATGTAATTAATGAAAGGATGCTGTTAAAATGTTGGGCACATACATAATTTAGAATAATGCTAGGGATCATGAAAAAAATATCATGAAGATGATCATGAAAGATTCTCTACCTTTGCATTACACATGTAATAAAATACTACACATTAATCAATAGATGAAAAATCTTTATGATGTATTTTATGATATTTATTTTTATGATCCTTAACATTACTCCATAATTTATTACACTACAAATTTAAGACAAAACTTCTTACCATTCCAGAAGTTGAAGAACCCCAAGAATTCCATCTGCCAAAAAGAAGCCAATTGTTCATCATTTTGAAGAGACGGTCACATTATTCTGTATAATTTTTTTTTATTTATATATTATTTAATTTTTTTATTTTTAATTTAAAAAAAAAAATTATTTGGCATGCTAACGTTGGCAGAATTGTATTTATTATAGATGGGGTTTACACGCTATCATGCTTAATACAATGCTATCGCATAGCATTATATATATATATTTATTTATACTATTATTAAGTAAAGGCTTAAATTGATTTAGTGAAACTTTTTTTTTTCAAAAAATTATTATACACAGTGTAAGTAAATTTTGAATTCAAGATTTTAGATTTTATTAAGAAAATATTTATCACTTAAACAACATACATATTATAATATTAAATTTTTTTATTATTAATTATTTGAATTGTACATGTATTGCATGTGTCACCCCTTAATCTTTATTATATTGTGCAAGAGTTGGTGAAAATTACCTTCCAGTGATCGGTGACTATGGTTTGGACAAAGGCTTCATTCTCATAGGACAATTTAGAAGCCATGATAGACAGTGATGCACCATACTTGCTGCTTTCATTAGTAGTGATGCTTTTGTCTAATTCCACACGTGCGTCCAGATTTGCCAACACTGATGTGAACGTTGCCGATGACCTACCTGGCGGCTTCACCACCGATCCTACACGATAATCAAAACACAACAACCTCATCATCATCATCAACTGCTACCATCAACTAAACAAATTAATCACTACTATTTTCGTGTGTACATATGTTTTTGTTTGTAAAATTGTTAATTATTAACTCATTTAAAAGTTCTAATTGTAATGCCTCTCCTTTATAAATGAGTCAAATACATATATATGTCAGGTAGAAGAAAGAAAAGTATTCTTAGTTTCTCCACCATCAAACTGTCTCAGATTTTGAACTGTGGAACTTCAAAGAAGGTTTTGTAGTGTTTATTTGGACAAGTTTGTTTTCTACTTACATGCGTAAAACAACACAATTTCTGTAGATATTTAGCATAAGAGATATACCCATAATCACCTTATTTATTTTTGTTTAACGTATATAATATTTTCATTATTGGAGAGATGGTGAGGTTTAAAAATTTATTTTTAACTCTAGCTCTAACTATGGGCAGCCCAACCCTCTTCTAAGTAGAATTTTTAATGTGAGGTCTTTTGATTTTAAAATATTATTTTCACTAAATATTTATACATGTTTTACGTCTTTTTAATTTTTTTTTTGGGATGCAAGATTATTAACTATACTGTTATAATCAAGTTTTTTTTTTATTTATTTTTATTTTTTTTAACATATCTTTCAAAAAACACAATTTATGGTGGTTGTGGTAGTGGTATAGGTGAGGGTAGTAGTAGGTAGGGTAGTTGACATTGGTAAGACTATAATCAAAAAACGTTTTCTGTGTCTTTTAAAAGTGAAAAAAATTTTACTGCTCATGACAAGTTTGTTTTCTGCTGGTCATAAAAATGTTTTTCAGTTGACCTTTTCATTTTTTCGTTGTAGCCAAATACCAAAAATAGTAAATAATATTTTTTTTAAAAATATTTTTTTGTTCCAACAAATAGAGCATTAATCTAGATAATATTTAAAAATTACAAAATTTGTAAAAAAAAATTAAAAAAAAATAATAATAAAAAATACATAAATTTATTACATTTTTTTCTGTTTATTAAATTTTTTTAAAACATTTTTTTTAATAAATATTTTATTTTAAAGTAATATGTTGATTAGATGCATTTAAAAAAATTATTATTTGATTTAAAAATTTTTAAAAACACAATTTACTATAAAAAATAATCAAAAAAATATTTGAAAAACATCCAAAAACAAACACAAGTGCATTATTTTTTTGGCCTGTGGTGTAGGTTGAGACTGTAGGAGTTTGCTCCTTCTCTATGTCTTAAAGGTTCAAAACCTCTTAGGTGCTATCAATCCTTGCTATTGGGCCAGTCCCATACAGAGCCTGCTCTGGCTTTAAATGGGCCCCTGCTAGGTGCGGAATACCGAGTGGTGATTGTCCTGAAGATATAATTGCACGACTCGGTCGCAGAACGCTCGGCGTCGAATCACATCCGCCTGATGATCAAAAACGACATAACATAATAGAGACATTTTATTTTATTTATGTATTAAATGTGCTTACTAAATCCAGAGGAAACTTGGAAGCACAAGGATTAAGTAGAAACCTTCTACCATTCTCTCATAAAGCTACTTCAAGTCTTTCAACTTAAAGCAACGTTGGATTTTAGATTAGCCTATTTGCTAGTCCAATTTTGAACCTACCAACAACAAACATTAAACCAGTTTCATAATTGAATAATTCTATTCTTGAAAGGGCTTAACTAAGCATCCCTATTCCCCGAAGAAAAAATAATTATTAAACATTGAATTTCATACCCAAAAAAATAATAAATAAATAAAGAAAATTTAAACAAACAAATTCAACCAGAATAACAGCGACACTAAACAGCAACTAAACACCTAAGCACATCAAGACAATACATAGATCCCAATATGTAATAAAGGATGGTTTTAATTTAAGATGAGAATATTAAATATGATAATTTGTATGCCCTTCCTAATATAAATCATAAAAACGAAGCCATTGTGCCAAAAATTACATTTGTTGGTACGTGTTCGCAAATAGACTAATAATACTTATATCTCACGCTCGCTCTACTTCTGAACTTAAAGCATGGCTATCAAAGGAGAATTTCCCTGCTGTAGAGACTATTTGTTGTCGATTACGCCAAAATATGCAATCGCTACTCTGTACTTTGTTCGCTCTATTCCGATAACGACATAGAAAATCTTCCGCAGAGTGTTTTTGCTCGCTGAGACCTCCCAACTAGTTCATCATCTGAGAGATTCTGAGACCCGATGGCTTATTTTTCATTCCATCCTTGCCAGAAACTATTGCTCTACTTCAAAAATCCCATGGCTCGACAGGAATGTGCTCGAGCTGTGGCTAAATCTCCTGTCAAGCAATGGAGGGTTTTGCTGCTTCTGTTAAATCTCCTCAAAGGTTAGCTTTTGCTTCTTTCTTTTTTTTTCATATTATTGAAACCACATATATGCCGTAGGAATTAAAGTTTTCAGATGAATGAGTAGTGCATGATGAAAACAAGCATGCGTGCATACTTGTTTGTTTTAATCTAATTTCATGTGTATGGTAGTACCCAAATGTGCATTAAACTATGAACTTTCTATGAGAAACAACATAATGTCTCTCCCATGGCTTCAAAGAAAATATTGCCAAACATTAGAATTTTAGTCATCATAAAAAATGGAGAAAATTGTACAATAAATATATATTAGGTCATTGGCTAAGGCTCCAAATGGGAGGGCTCACATTTTAAAATATTTTTCTATATATAAATATATATTTTTATATTTGTTTCATCTATATTTTTCTATATTTAAAATGTTTTTGTTTCATTATATTACCTCTAAATAAAAATTGCTTTTTTTTTTCACAATTATATTATAACAATAAGTGAAGACAGTTTTCAATCAAAGAAGGGCCCATAATGGATGAGCATCACAAAACCCTGATTTGGGATTGGGTTCTCGCTGTTAGGCCTCCGTGGGCCGACCACGGAGGCCATATCGATAATTCAAACCATACAATATGTAGAATTCATCGAATACTTCATCTCTACAAAAAAATCACGTTGATCGGATATCGATTGTCACTTAATCAGATTACATTTCTGTAACAATTTTTTTTTTAAAAATTATTAATTTACCGTGATAGAAATGTATCTGATCAAGTGACAATCATATCCGATCAACGTGATTTTTTATAAAAATAAAATACTAGATGAGTTCTACACATTAAATAGTCTAAATTATTGATACTAGTTTCGTGGTGAACCCATAGGAGACCCGACAAATCTCTCTGGTCGATTTGAACCGGAAAAAAAGCCTCTCCCTTTTCAATACAATACTAAATATTGCTCTCTCTTCCAGTCAAACTGTGTC